TATTATTTCCAAACGGTATGGAAATAACTGACGACAGAAAAGCCATTTTGTACGCAGAGTTTGTCGCCCGACAAGTGGTTAAAGTGTATATAAAGGGTCCCAAAAAGGGTGAGTCGGAGGTTGTGGTCAATGAACTGCCGGGAGAGCCCGACAATATACGAAGAAGCGCCTCCAAGAAAGAGACTTATTGGGTAGCGCTCGCATCCGCCCGAATCGCCAGTAAACCCAATGAATTGGATTATTACCTGAAAAAGCCTTTATTAAGGAAACTTTATTGTCGTCTTTTGCATCTCATTGGAAGTGGTATTGAATTTGTTGGCTATTTATTCAAGTATTCATTGATCAGAGAGTATGGCATCGATATAAAGGAGGGACGGATTATGATAGACATGTTGTTTAACGTGGAGGCCATCGATCACGGGATGATTGTTGAGGTGGACCTCAATGGCAATGTTGTAAACAGTCTTCAGTCGGTCGACGACTCGAGTCTCTCCCGTTTTTCTGAAGTCCGCGAAATTAAAGTTAATGATAAGGAAAGTGTGCTATACATTGGTTCTTATATAAATAGTTACCTTGGTCAACTTGCATTTCGGCGCACGTTGTGAGTTGTTTTAGTTTTACTTACCATGTTATTTTTAAAATAGCATAATTTTGTTTTCATGACAAAAACTATTGTGAATTCAACAAATATTAAAAAAAAGTATTTTGCAATTTTTATCACAAATTACTACATTACATGTTTACTTATTTTGAATTAATGTTAAAAATAAGTTATAATTTGTTTATTTACATTTAAGTAGTTTTTAAATTTCATTGTTTAATAAACTCGAATACACGTTAACTATTTTTTTCATTTTTTAAAATAAAAATTTAAGATAGAAATTAAATATTTTATACTTTTATTTTAATTCAGTATTTGTTAATAAAAATTATAACAATTTGTGTAATTCATACATATTTTAATTTAACAATGAATTAGGTTAAAGTGCATTAGCACTTCAATTGTACTAAATTTACAACAATAACCTGTAAATTATTGCTGTATTATAAATATAATAATTATTAAAATCAAGAAAAATATAATACTATCCGAGAATCGGATGATCAATGAATTCAACAATTTGTCCGTTTTTCTGAGTTTCAAAAATAATGATCTCATTGACACCCCTATGGAGTACATGTGAGGGCACGTATAGAGTGAGTGCCGGCCCGACACTCGCATAGCGGCCTAAATTGAAACCATTGATGAATACCGTGGAAGTGGTCCAGTGATGCAGTTTTATATACGTGTCTTCGGGCGTGTCGTCTATCCGGAGATGACTCCTGTAAAACGTGGGACTCTTGTACTCTTCAATCTGACTCCACGTCTCATTTCTCAGTCCATTGATAAAATGTGTTTTCATTTCAAACGGATATATTTGCCAATTGTGTTGCGGCCTATTGTCGATCAGTATGTCTTCATTCAAGCCCTTCCTCTGAATCCTGTTATCTGTGATATAGTTTCCAAAACCAATTCTTCCCATATTCTCGACCAAAATATCTAAATTATATACCATTTGTTTCTTGTGATCAAATACATGGTCGGGAATCGTGTGATTAAATGCACTATTCTTTGCGATTACAAAACCTATTTGCCTGTTGTCAACCATCAAAGCTGCCCTATCATTGACTCTGCCTTTAATTATAATTATTTATTAATTTTTTTATACATTGTTCAGACAATTTACATGTTATCTAAATATTTTTATACCTTTAGTAAATTTAATTGTTTTGCTCTCAGATATAGCGGTTCTATAGAGAGTAAAGCCAACATTTTGGCCATAATTAGTGCCGATATTTAGATTTTCCATCGAGATTGGAGTTTTAGATGAATAAAATTTAACACGTGGCAAAATATGAGCAAGTGACAATTGTTCGCTCATTTTAATCACACCATAACCAATCGCTCTAGTAACTTTTGGTGGCGAATATGTGGACAGTTTTGGTACATTTCTTTCAACGTTAAACTTGTCAATCAATTCTTTAGTTTTCCAATACTTATCGGTATAATTTCCTACAATTTATAACAAAAATTAATTAAGATTTATATGTAAAATACAAAATATCAATATTGATAAATACCGGACTCATCGAGCGGTGCGTTATAGTCATAACTGGTGATAAAACTGGCCGTAATTGTGCCGTTCACTACTTTGCCGACATTGCCGGCAGTGAACCCAAAATTAGTGCCTCCGATAAACATATATGCGTTGAACGACGAGTTCATCTGTAATATCATTGCATCCAATTGTTGGCCATAATAGTCGACACTTTGGGTGCTATGTTTGGAGCCCCAGGAGTCGAACCAACCGCTCCAATACTCGGCCACATATAGCGCCTGATTTGGTCGCCAAACGCTCATATCTCGCAAATGTTTTAACGTGTTTGAGTTGAAATTAATTGTATAGAGATATTCTAGTAGTGAAATATGTGTCACAATTATTAAACTAATTGTTAGCGTTTAGAAAAGTCAAACCGTCGAGTGATCCGTGTCTTCCCGGGCCATCCGATGTGAACAATAGCTCTTTGATGCCGTGGTTTCGGGCAATGATTCCTAAGTACTTCATGTAATTAGAGTCGTGGATATGTTTGGCTGTATTTCCAAACGATCCGAACTCGTTCTCAATCTGTACGGCAATTATTGGTCCGCCTTTTGTAGTGAACTGAAAGTCTTGGACGACAGCAAACAAGCGCTTCCAATACCTGTCGACCGCATCTATAAATGGCTTATAACTGGATCTGACTTTCATATTGGGATCTCTCAGAAGCCAAGCGGGAAGTCCTCCGAACTCCCATTCGGCGCATATATAAGGTCCGGGTCTATACATCGCAAACATATCCATCTCTTTGATAGCCATCAGAAAGTCACTTATATTCAAGAGACCCGTTTCAAAGTCAAACTTATCCGGAGTTTCCTCGTGTAGATTCCATGGCGAGTAAAATTGAACCTAAAATTAATTCATATTTATTTAATTACAATTAAAATGTATATAATGTTTGATATTTTATAGATAAATACTGTATATAACTAAATGATTACAGCGTTAAGTCCCGCCGCCTTAAACTTGCGAAGTATTGGTCGCCAATTGTTTTGATGGACGCGAAAGTAATGGAAAGAACCGCTAAATATAGTGATCTCTTTGCCATTTAAAGTGAAGTGACTGTTGTCTCCCTTCAGACCTGATTTGATGCCACCGTTTGTGTAGTAATCATACAGTGTTTGCAATTCACTCGATAGCGAATAATTCACAGAAATCAACACTAAAAACAACTTTATGTTCATTATTATAGTTTTGAATTGAGATTAAAATGTGAGTTAAATTATACAAAAATTAAACATTTGTTTATAAACAAATATATGGTCCACTATTAGGGAAGAGGAAAAGTTATTAAAATAGATTTCAATAAATATTTCCTCTAAAATTTTTGAATTTGCTTTATTTATAACACAAACTCTCAGTTAAATACAGTATAAATAAACAATCAATGTAGTTTTTGTGAAATAAAAATTATTTCAAGTGATTCACTAAAAGCAATATTCAATAAATTAATTTTAATATTGTTTTTAGTAATTTAAACGTTAATATGAATAAAATTAACATTTTATTAATTCTCCTTTCAATGTTTTGACAGGCGTTGTACTAAAACAAAGAATTCAATTAAATTTTTTATGTTTAAAAGTATTTATTCAAAGTGTATTTTACAAACATGTTATACAGATAGGGCAAATAAGAATCATAATATGATTTATGATAAAACATAAATATTATTTAATCATAACAATGCACACATTCTAAGGATATTTAAAATATTGTAATAATTAACAAATAAATTATTTAAATTTATGTTATGTTATTTAAAATTATGCCAAATAATTAATTTTAATATAAATTTTATAAATAATACCAATTGTTAATAAAAAATTAAATATTAACCTAATTATTGTTAATATAAAGAAATATCAATAATTTTGAGAAAAAATCCAACGCTTATAATTAAAATCTATAATAAATGCAAATAAAAAATATTTTACTTATAATAGTAATAAACATTGAAATAAATTATAATGTTTATACCTGTAAGACATTATGAGAGTCAATGAGAAATAATTTCCAACAATAAAATCCAATATTTTGTTCACTGACTTTCTCAGCAAATGTCATAAACTATTATCACATCATAATTAAAATTCTTTAATAAATTTTTTAAATAAAACAGTAAAACACGTATAAATAAATACCTTAATCCGAAAACTAACGCCAATTTTTGCAAAGTCTTTGGTTGCCATACAAGACATGATATGCTTATAAGGGATGTTAGCCTCGGATGAGAGCGCAGAGACTGTGTTGAGAACCGTTAAGAACATAATCGATAGCATGAATGATGAATAAAAGTATACTATTTTTATACAAATATTAAATTTGCCAAAACATCCATTAAATAGACACAGATTTATAATAAGTATAATTGTTATAATTAATAACAGCAAAAATGTTGACCAATAGTTTTCATTGTAATCATTAATTTCCAAATGAATACTCGTGTAAGCCTTTAGGAATCGCCTCAGAATTGATTTATTAATAAATTCTCTGTTTTTAATTAAATTTATTAGAGTATTATTGATTGATCTTAATTTCAATTTCAAATAATAGCAAATGAGATACAAATAATAGATTTGAAATATCAATATATTAGAGCAATAATAGACAAACAATGCAAATACAAAAGACCACTGAATTACTGGAAATAATATCTGAAATACCGATGAATTCATTAAAAGCGGAAGAAATGAAACAAAAAATCCGGCGATTAATCCAGATATTGACGCCATTTGGCAGACAATTAATAATTGGTTTGATTTTTGAATAACTTTATGAATATTTTTATCAAAACATCTTTTGCTCATCGCGTAAATTAATAGTAAATTTGATGGCATTTTATGATTTACATAATAAATATAATTAATTAATTGAGCGATTAATGCCTGTAAACCAAACACTACAACAGAGATTGTTATATGATATCTAATTTTCAAGAAATAAATCCAATCACCCATTAATATACATGTATTGGTGTTTGTTTGACACAAATACAAAGATATTATTAGTTTAGTAATTGTTATGAAAATCACAACCAATACGAGGAAAGGATTAAACTGTATATAACTAAATGATTACAGCGTTAAGTCCCGCCGCCTTAAACTTGCGAAGTATTGGTCGCCAATTGTTTTGATGGACGCGAAAGTAATGGAAAGAACCGCTAAATATAGTGATCTCTTTGCCGTTTAAAGTGAAGTGACTGTTGTCTCCTTTCAGACCCGATTTGATGCCACCGTTTGTGTAGTAATCATACAATGTTTGCAATTCACTCGATAGCGAATAATTCACAGAAATCAACACTAAAAACAACTTTATGTTCATTATTATAGTTTTGAATTGAGATTAAAATGTGAGTTAAATTTTACAAAAATAAAACATTTGTTTATAAACCAATTTTTGGTCCACTATTCGGGAAGAGGAAAAGTTATTTAACTAGTTTTCAATAGATATTTCCTCTAAAATTTTTTAATTTGCTTTATTTATAACACAAACACTCAGTTAAATACAGTATAAATAAACAATCAATGTATTTTTTGTGAAATTAAAATTATTTGACAATTCATTTCAAGTGATTCATAAAAGCAATATTCAATAAATGAATTTTAATATTGTTTTTAGTTATTTAAAAGTTAGTATAAATAAAATTAGCGTATTATTGATTCTAATTTCAATGTTTTGACAGGCGTTGTATTAAAACAAAGAATTAAATTAAATTTTTTATGTTTAAAAGTATTTATTCAAAGTGTATTTTACAAACATATTATATAGGGCAAATAGACACATTTAGATAAATCACATTTAGACATAACAATGCACACATTCTAAGGATATTTAAAATATCGTAATAATTAACAAAAAAAATTATTTAAATTTATGTTAAAAGTATGCCAAATAATTAGTTTTAATATAAATTTTCTAAATAATACCAATTGTTAACAGAAAATTAAATATTAACCTAATTATTGTTAATATAAAGAAATATCAATAATTTTGAGAAAAAATCCAACGCTTATAATTAAAATCTATAATAAATGCAAATAAAAAATATTTTACTTATAATAGTAATAAAGATTGGAATAAATGATATACTTGTAAGACATTATGAGAGTCAATGAGAAATAATTTCCAACAATAAAATCCAATATTCTGTTCACTGACTTTCTCAGCAAATGTCATAAACTATTATCACATAATAATTAAAATTCTTGAATAGATTTTATTAATAAAACAGCAAAACACGTATAAATAAATACCTTAATCCGAAAACTAACGCCAATTTTTGCAAAGTCTTTGGTTGCCATACAAGACATTATATGCTTATAAGGGATGTTAGCCTCGGATGAGAGCGCAGAGACTGTGTTGAGAACCGTTAAGAACATAATCGATAGCATGAATGATGAATAAAAGTACACTATTTTTATACAAATATTAAATTTTCCAAAACATCCATTAAATAGACACAGATTTATAATAAGTATAATTGTTATAATTAATAACAACAAAAATGTTGACCAATAATTTTCATTGTAATTATTAATTTCCAAATGAATACTAGTATAAGCCTTTAGGAATCGCCTTAGAATTGATTTATTAATAAATTCTCTATTTTTAATTAAATTTATTAGAGTATTATTGATTGATCTTAATTTCAATTTCAAATAATAGCAAATGAGATACAAATAATAGATTTGAAATATTAATATATTAGAGCAATAATAGACAAACAATGCAAATACAAGAGACCATTGAATTACTGGAAATAATATCTGAAATACCGATGAATTCATTAAAAGCGGGAGAAATGAAACAAAAAATCCGGTGATTAATCCAGATATTGACGCCATTTGGCAGACAATTAACAATTGGTTTGATTTTTGAATAACTTTATGAATATTTTTATCAAAACATCTTTTGCTCATCGCATGAATTAATAGTAAATTTGATGGCATTTTATAATTTATATAATAAATATAATTAATTAATTGAGCGATTAATGCCTGTAAACCAAACACTACAACAGAGATTGTTATATGATATCTGATTTTCAAGAAATAAATCCAATCACCCATTAATATACATGTATTGGTGTTTGTTTGACACAAATACAAAGATATTATTAGTTTAGTAATTGTTATGAAAATCACAACCAATACGAGGAAAGGATTAA